ATACGCCACTGACATTTGTACCCAAGTCAACCATCAGCCAACACTGAGATCTGTCTTTGTGCCTGTCACCCCTTTCTGTCAAATAAAAGCAAAAGGTATTTTCAAAAATGTGCAAGTTAGGGAGAAGGACTTGGAGCAGGTTAAACCAGTTGGCACATATGTCTTACCTGCAAAATGGGGACAACCACATGGTCCTCAAGGATTGGTGAGGGACCACAAATGGAAAACCTAGCACGGGACCAGCACATCTCAGGTCCTCAAGGAACTCTGAGCACCTGCTCTGTTCAGTTCTTGTGCTGAAGAGGCAACTACTGGTTTCAGCTTTGGGCTAAGTTCTGAATTGGGGGCTGTGGATATAGCAGTAAGACACTGAATACCCAGCCCTAATGAAGCCCCCAGTTTGTGGGAGGAGACATAATATGAAAGTGTCTGCTTGTGTGCCAGACAGTCTTCTAAACACTTGATATTTGCATATTGATGCTTTACATCCTTATAGTAATCGATGAGGTGTGTGCGTGTGCTAAGTCGCTTCAGTCATGTATCTGTGTGATCCCATGGACTGTAACCCACAAGGCTTCTCTGTCCATGGGATTCTCCAGGCAAGAATACTAGAGTAGGTTGCTGTGCCCTCCCTCCAGGGGATCTTCCCAGCCCAGAGATTGAACCTGCAGCTCTCTTGTCTCCTGCACTGGCAGGCGGGTTCTTTACCACTAGCGCCACCTGGGAAGCCCAATCTGATGAGGTAGATTATCTCAAGTATTACTTTGTAGTCTGTCTTCCTGGTCACAGATGTCTGTCCCTCTGTAAGAGCCCACATCTGTGATAACGGTATTGGATCTGTTTGTATATGTGATGGGTAAGAGCTTGGGTGCTGGAATCAGACGGGTTCAAAATGCAGCTCCACCAATTATGGGCAAGATATTTGATCTGTCAATGCCTCAATAATGTTTTCAACTGTAAAATAAGGATAGCTATAGTTGTTGCCTCGTAGATTATTGTAAGATTTATATAAAGCACTTAGAACGGTGTCTGGCTCACAAGCTGTCGGTAAACATTAGCTGTTATTATTGTTGTTGTTGTGCCACTTGTCTCCTTCTGCAGACTGGGAGCTCCTTGAGAACTATGACACTGTCTTATTAATTATATGTGCAACTCCCAACCCAAGGTCGATCATGGGGTTGAAATTAATGATTATCTGTTAAGAAAAAAGTTATCCCTACTCGTATATTTTGAGGTAGGGAGGGAGGTGATACAGAGGGAGGAGGGACTGCCCTTATGAGTGGATGTCAGATTCTCCCATGAACCATGATTGTAGAAGGAATGTGGATTCTATTAGAGCAGACAGAGTCCAAGAAATCAACCTCAATCAGAGTCAATGTAAGAACCAGAAGGGACATCCCAGGCCATGGTCAGTGCTCCCATTTTTCAGGTGAGGAGCCTGAGGCGTGGGGAGTTCGTGTACCTTATCTGTGGTCTTGCAGTGTTGGAGGAAATTTGTTGGGGAACATGGCCCTTTATCTTAACCTCAAATTCTATTAATACTCCGTGATTAATTAAACAGATTTTTTTCATTTTGGTTCAGTTTCACAAAGCTTTATTGAATGCCAAGTGCCTTGTTCTCAGCTCACGAGAGATGAGTAAAATGGGCTCAGAGAGCTTTCAGACTTGCTTGAGATTAAATAAGCAAATCAAATGTGAAAAAGGGAAATCCCACAAAATAATAAGAGCTCGCCTTGTTCCCATTCTGTAGACATCAGGAGACTAAACAACCAAGTGAGAACAGTGGGAATACAGGACTTCTTTAGCACAAACCTGTTGAGGTCATACTTGGGTTATGACTCGGGTCCCTCCAGTTAAAGGGACCCACACCCACAAGATGAAAACTCGAGCGGGGTGAGCAGAGGTTGATTTCCATTGGGGTGTTATGGGGTAGATGCCATGGAATTCTACAGAATGTATCTTCACCTCCTTGGCAAAGATAATGTCTTCCCCAAGCCTTGCTCAGAGAACCCCCTCCCCAATTCAGTGCAGCCCCACCACAGGGATCCTAGGAAAACAGGAGAATTGGAAGTTGTTGCTAAGAAGCTTGTTTTGGCCCTACTGAAGGCACAACTATAAATTCACATAATAAGAGACCCACCACTATGACTGGAAGTGCACAGCGCAGCTGACGGGAGGGGAGATTCATAGCCTGCCTCAGCACTGTTCGTCTTCCACCTGGGAGCAGTGTAGCCCTAGGCACCCATTATTTATCAGGGAGACTGGAGATGTCAGGGGGAAGGGCAGTGTGTGGGTGGCAACCAGTACTGACTGGGAGCTGTGAGAGGCAGTGGGGTGCAGCACGATGTGCCTGGGACTGGAGCTGGGAGAGCAGGACTCTGCCACTGCCCGCTCTGGTGGACATCTGGTCAGTCACTTAACTGCCAAGGCCTCCAGCTCTTCAGCCTTAAAATAGGGCTTGAGTGAAACGGTCTCCTCAAGTCCCTCAGGCTCTTGAGTTCCATTCAGAATGTTCTAAGCATTGTATGAAAATGTTCAGAAGTTGCTTTCAGACTTCCTTCAGTCTGTGTAACAGGCTCTAGGTATATACCAAAAATGAAAAGTTAACAATGACCAAAAAAAAGAGGTTGTTTTCATTAGCCTAGAAGGTATCCCTGGGGTCTTCAGGGAGCATATTTCCCCGAGGGTGATCTCAAACCTTTCCCTAAAGACCCCCCAGGCATAAGAGCCCTAATGCATCTCCAGCCCAGGATCTGGGGGCATACACCCAGGCATGAAATGTCTTTGAGTTCTTGTTTGTTATCACAGAGGTAATTTTGCACTCTACTCTATAAATCTATCCTTGCTTGTGTTGATATAAAAATAATATTCTGAATTATTCACTGTTTGTGAATGTGTTGATAAATCTAGACTTGCAAGTTGGCAGAGAATCTTGTCTTTTGATCTTGAACTATACAAGCCCTAATTTTGTGTGATAAGGTTACAGGAGATAACTAATTTCTTTTTCATGCTTTCTGTATTTTTTTTATTTCTTCTCTAATGCGCGTGTATTAATACTAAAGAAAAGTAAATAAATTTTAAAACATGAAAAACAATGTAGTTCTGACCTTCCACATCTAGATTTTAAGGAGGGAAGGGCTCCCTTTAATGAATGGGCTCCCTGATGACACTTTCTTAATGTGCACATTCTTCTTGTGCTCAGTTGCTCCGTCGTGTCTGACTCTTTGCGACTCCGTTGACTGCAGCCTGCCAGGCTCCTCTGTCTGTGGGATTCTCCAGGCAAGAATACTGCCGTGCCCTCCTCCAGGATCTTCAAGACCCAGGGATAGAACCCACGTCTCTTAGGTCTCATGCGTTGGCAGGCGGGTTCTTCACCACCCGGAAGTGCCGCTGGGAAGTCCATCTGGGTGCTCTGTTTGTGACAAATAACATGTGGTTGAATGAATGAAAGAATAATGACGATGATGATGATGATGAAAGCTACCATGATTGTGTTTTTACCATGTGCTACTGTTCTAAACTCTACCTCAGTCATCTTATTCAATCTTTCTAAAACCCTTTGAGGCAGGTCTTATTATCCTCATTTTACAGACGAGGAAACCAAAACATCAAAAAGTTAAGTAACTGTCCCAGTTGGAACCTCTTTCCTGTGCTGTCTTTTATCTTCTTGGCTTGCCTTTTAGACCTGGTCATTGCAGCAGCGTTTGCCCTGAGTGCAGCAACTTGGTGGTGTTGTCTTAGCAGCTCCTCATCTCTTGGTTTTGCCCTGAGGCTTCTCTGCCCTGTTCTACTTGCTTATCTGTACTTTCTAATTTTCCTAAGGTGACAGTTGTGTCATGGATGGAGAGCAGCGTGGCAAACTAATCTATGCTAGTTTATTCAGATAGAACTCTCAGGTTCTTTTAGCAGATAGTAGTAGCCATGGGCATAGTTGAAGTGGATGTGGATTAACTAGTCTCCACAGTCCCACCTTCATCTTATCACAAAAGCAAATCTCAGAGCAAAACCTGCCCCACATGCAGACTTATTAGGTAAGCATTCATGGGCCAGCAAACATAAGACAGGGCAGGCAGCCTGCTCTGGAAGCTGATCAAGTCCCAACTCTCCGTGCATTTGGGTACTGCAACTGCTCCCCGAGTGGAAGGTTCACTGGAAGAAGGCAGGCGAACATTCTCGAGCGGTGGGTCTCAAACTTGAGCAAACATCCAAATCTCCTGGAGGGCTTGTTAAGGCACTGATTGCTGGGCCCTGACCCTACAGCTAACTCAGGGGCCTCCACACTTTGAGATCTGATTTTGTTACTCTCTCTGATAAATGGCATCAGAGCGACCAGCCATTTGCTCAATCCCTGGACAAAGGACCATTTAGAGAGTTAGTCTGTGGTCTAGAACACCTACCCTTGGCTGTAGACTACAGGGTGTTCTGGATTCCTTTACCTAAAAGGCATAAGGGTAAAGAATGTCGATGAAAGGTTTTAGAGCAGCGGTCCTCACCTTTTTTGGTACCAGAGACATATTTTGTGGAAGACAATTTTTCCACGACTGGGGCTGGGGTTGGGGTGGGGGTGGTTTCAGGAGGATGATTCAAACACACTACATTTATTGTGCACTTTATTTCTATTGTTATTACATCAGCTCCACCTCAGATCGTCAGGCGTTAGATCCTGGAGGTTTGGGGCCCCTGATTTAAAGGATACTGTTAATGTCATCAGTGAGAAGCCATTTCTCATCCTCATTATGCTAATTAGCAAAGCCTGGTGCATTCCTTACACTCCAATAACTGAGGTTCATTTCACATAGATAGTTGGAGCATGGCCTGATACAATACTAGCTGAATAGCCCTGTAGTGTGAATTCCTGGAGGGCACCTAGGGTATAACATAAATTAGCACAAACACCTAATATCACTTGTACAAATGAAACATGTTAGAGTAAGTTACAGACAACATTAATGGAAGGAAAGTTCATTAACAAATCTCTGGGCGTTTGTTTGGTCCCACAGACAGAGCCTGAGATCATAGAGGAAACCAACATCGACAGAGTGAATGAGCCCCGGGGCTATGGCCGGTCGAGGCAGGTGAAAGGCCACTCGGAGACCTCCACTCTGAGCTCGCAGCCCTCCATCGACGAGGTCCGGCAGCAGATGCACATGCTGCTAGAGGAGGCCTTCAGCCTGGCGTCGGCGGGCCACGCGGGCCAGGGCCGGCACCCGGAGGCCTATGGCTCCGCCCAGCACCTGCCCTACTCCGAGGTGGTGACCAGCGCTCCGGGGACCATGACACGGCCCAGGGCTGGGGTGCAGTGGGTGCCGACCTACCGCCCAGAAATGTACCAGTACAGTCTGCCCCGGCCGGTAAGTCAGACATCTCTCCCACCTGCCTGTCATCATCAGATCTGCCAGTCCCGGGGTGTGCCCACAGGGGTCTCAGGGTAAGGACTTTTGTGATGAGCCACCTTGGGATTTGGAGATGACCTTTGCTGGGCTCTCATCCCATCCTCATCTCTGATCCAAGCCGAAGCCTTTCAGTCCCATGGGCATAGGCGCACAGGAAGCCCTGATGTCCAGCTGAAATACGTTTTTGAGTGAATTTCCTTTTCTACCCCTCCTGTGAAGGCCAGACCTCACTCTTTGTGCACTGGTGGTTTTCTGCAACCCCAAGGGCAAGGACCTCATTTGAATGTCAAAATGCGGGGCAAGGCCCCATGTCAGGGGGCCATGGAGCCTGTGGTTCTGAGCAGAGGCTCTGGAGGCGGGTGGTTTGACTTTGAATTCCAGCTCTAGCATTCAGCGGCTTTGTGACTTGGGGATGTTACTTAGATTTTCTACAGGTGAAATGAACAGATAAGAAAAATAACCAACTTCCTAAGGTGGTTGTAAAGATTAACATGAGGTACTAGATGGATGCCAGACACCCAGTAAATGCCATAAAGGTTTGTCATGATCATCTCATTAATTAGTAACTGTACTTCAGTATCTGAGAAAGTACCCAGTGACTAAAGGCTTTCATGATTTAAGCAACCATTTTAATTAGTTTGCATTTAATTAGTTCATCACCATAGCATCTACAGATAATCTTTTTAAAAAGACATAGTTTTATAAGCCACAGACAATAGACAATGCTTTTTGTGATGTATAGATTCTGCCCTTGTAATATTTCATGCCCTATCTCCAAGTTACTCATTAACAGAGCATTATAAATTGTCATTGTGATATGTAATTATCTAATAAAAGGTCAAGGCTATGGTTTTTCCAGTGGTCATGTATGGATGTGAGAGTTGAACAGTGAGGAAAGCTGAGCGCCGAAAAATTAATGCTTTTGAACTGTGGTGTTGGAGAAGACTCCTGAGAGTCCCGTGGACTGCAAGGACATCCAACCAGTCCATCCTAAAGGAGATCAGTCCTGGGTGTTCATTGGAGGGACTGATGCTGAGGCTGAAACTCCAGTACTTTGGCCACCTCATGCGAAGAGTTGACTCATTGGAAAAGACCCTGATGCTGGGAGGGATTGGGGGCAGGAGGAAAAGGGGGCGACAGAGGATGAGATGGCTGGATGGCATCACTGACTCGATGGGCATGAGTTTGAGTAAACTCCGGGAGTTGGTGATGGACAGGGAGGCCTGGTGTGCTGCAATTCATATGGTCGCAAAGAGTTGGACACGACTGAGCGACTAAACTGAACTGAACTGAATAAAAGCTAGAGAAGGCATGTTGTTGACAAAGGTCCATATAGTCAAAGTTATGGTTTTTCCAGTAGTCATGTGTGGATGTGGGTTGGACCATAAAGAAGGCTGAGCACCAAAGAATTGGTGCTTTCAAATTGTGGTGTTGAAGAAGACTCTTGAGAGTCCCTTGGACTGCAAGGAGATCAAACCAGTCAATCCTAAAGGAAATCAATCCTTATTATTCATTTGAAGGACTGAAGCTGAAGCTCCAGTATTTTGGCCACCTGATGTGAAGAGTGAACTCTTTGGAAAAGACCCTGATACTGGGAAAGATTAAAGGCAGGAAGAGAAGGGGGTGACAGAGGATGAGATGATTGGATGGCATCACTGACTCAATGGACATGAATCTGAGCAAATTTCAGGAACTAGTGAAGGACAGAGAAGCCTGGCATGCTATAGTCCATGGAGTTGCAAAGAGTTGGATTCAACTTCTTGAGTGAACAACAACAATAATAAAAGCTAACATTTATTGAGTGCTTCACTGTTACTAGGTAGTGATCTAAGTGTCATATGTATGGTAACTCATTTATTTAGTTCTTACTGTATGCCTCTGAGACAGTTACTAGTTTTATCCCTGTTTTACAGATGTTGAAACTGAGGTTTCACAGCTTGTTCAAGTCACACAGCCTGGAAGGGGCAGAGCCAGGACCCAGAGTCAGGCCATCTGGTGACAAAGCCCATGTTCTTAACCTGCCTTCTGCTGTTATATTGTCTCTCCATCATATTATTTCTTTCATTTTACAGTAGACTATTTGGGACACCTATGAGCTTATGGAGCCTTTTGATAACTTCAACCACCAGCCTCCAACAGCACCACTACGGTGGCATTTAATAAATTGCTGTTATGCTACATAACTACCTAATCTACACACTGTTGTGAACTTCCTTATTGTCCTTTGTTCCAGATTCTCTCCTTTACCAGGTCCCTGAGATGTCTTCTCTTAACACTATTCCTAATCCCCTCAGTCTTTCTCTTTGAATGTCAGTCTCTGGCCTAGCCTTTCCCTGTTGATAAAACTTTTATCAGGAGAGACCAAAGTTTATTTCAAACTGAGCCTTTGGGGAAAGGACACCTGTACTTGGATGAGGTCATCAGCACTGCAAGAGTTTGTCTTTAGGTCGGCAGGTGCAGAATTTCTGTTTTGTCCATTCACTCCAGGGTGATCAGATCATGCTGCTTAAACTCACTGAAACTGCTTTATTATTAACTTACAAACCTGCAGTGAGAAGCTGAATGACCAGGTGGGCCAGAATATTTGTTTGCTGGTCAACATGGTCTTTCATTGGCTTCCCTTGTAGCTCAGCTGGTAAAGAATCCACCTGCAATGCAGGAGACCTGGGTTCAGTCAATCCCCTGGAGAAGGAAAAGGCTACCCACTCCAGTATTCTGGCTTGGAGAATTCCATGGACTGTATAGTCCATGGGGTTGCAAAGAGTTGGACACAACTGAGCGACTTTCACTTTGGGCTTCCGTGGTGGTTCAGATGGTAAAGAGTCTGCCTGCAGTGAGGGAGACCTGGGTTCAATCCCTGGGTCAGGAAGATCCCCTGGAGAAGGAAATGTCAACCCACTCCAGTATTCTTGCCTGGAAAATCCCATGGACGGGGGAGCCTGGCAGGCTACAGTCTATGGGGTTGCAGAGTTGGACATGACTGAGTGACTTCACTTTATGGTCTTTCATTAAGTAAAAGCCAATTTAGGGAAAGTACGACATTGTCAGAAGGAAGACTGGTTGATATTAGAGTCATTTTTCTCAGCCTGTGATATGCAAACCCAGAGAGCAGAGTCAGTAAAGGAAATAGGGTAAATGTGGGACATCTTTTTTGCATCCCATTTTTCTGAGATATAGGTGGAATACAGGGCAAAATTCTTAATGTTTTAAAGGATTTTATTTTAATATTTACTAAGTATTTATTTGGCTGTGCTGAGTCTTCGTTGTAGCATACAGGATCTAGTTCCCCAACCAGACATGGAAACTGGGCCCCCTGCTGTGGGAGTGTGAACTCTTCGCCACTGGACCACCAGGGAAGTCCCCTTCATGCAGTGTTTAAGTTAAATAGAAGACTTCAGTCAAGGCCCAGATCTCAGGAATCCAGGAACTTTGCTGGATCTGTTCAAGAAGCACTGACTTCCAGAAAAGGGCCAGCAACTCTGGGGCCGCCACTGGCCATGCTCCCATCAGATGAGAATCCACATACCCTTTTTTCAGAGTTAGAAAAATGCTCACTGAGCCTTGCAAATAGGGTACTTTAAAATACTTTCCCATGACAGTCGTATTACAGTTTCCACAATTACAGTTTTCTTAACTAATTGCCCATTAAATTGGTACTCTTCTTTATGGGGAAAGAAGGGATTTTCTCACTGAGATGTTGAAAACACTCTAATCTTACCACATAAAGTGGCTGTCCTTTGGGGGAGGGCTACCTGTATCCATTCTTATACTGATCCACACTGACTTCAGTTTCGTTGACTCATCCTTTCTGATTCCAGACATTGACCATATCCCCAAATTCTCCCTCTACCCAGAGTGGAATGGTACTCACCAACTGAATGACCTTACCTGGTGACCGTAACTCTGAGCCTCCTGTCTCCTCAGCCATAGAATGGTGATGAGAAGAGAGCTGCAGGGGGGAAAGGATGATAATTCATGTAAAATGCTCAGCAAGGTCCTGGCACTTAGCACCCAATGGGTGTTAGTAGATTTTAATCAGAGTGCTTTGTATGGAGCCTGGTACATGGAATTACTGGATAAATGTAGTCATTATTATAAAAATATTCTCTTCTTTCCACTGGGTTCCACTGTCTATCTCCCTTTTCCTGACACTTCCGAGATGACATCTTTTTCTTCTACTCTGTTATACTCTTTTTAAGAGCATGCTCTGGGTGCTCAGGGAAGCCTCACTTCTGTTTAAAGATAATCCTCAGGAATGACTGGGCCCCTCTAGCTGGAGGCCAGACTTTGGGGATCTGTGAACAGATCTGGGTTTCAGAGAGAAAAACTTAAACTGGGATGAGACTTCCAATGACAGGCCAGAATATGCCACAACCCACATCCATATGCCTCAATTTAACAAAACCATCTAAAAATGTCATTGTGGGAATATGAAAGTTTAGATGGTTCTGTTTGCTATAATTCAGGATTGGCAGTTGTGCCAAGAAAGGCAGAAACGTTAGTATTATATACTTTTAAAAAATGAAGCCACCAAAGAATGGAAGTGGACTGAGAAATAACACAGGAGAGAGATGATCCATCAAACTGAATATCAAAGGCAGTTTTTTCATTGTTAAGGTTTCCTTTTGCCAACAACACATGAGGTCCTTATTTTAATGAAAAGAGAAATGGCTAACAATACACAGTAGCAATGATAATTCTTAACCCAAGTTCTTGCCAAGCCCTCTTGTGCTATGATAATGTGGAAATCAATGGACATGGTGGCAATTTAGAATGATAACTATGATTACTTTTCAGCTTCCAAAAAGGAAGCACTCCAAGCTCTACTGGAGGATAATTGGAAGTTGCTGGTTCTAAATGCACTCAGCCAGGCTGATGGCATTTATATCATGGAAAAGGTTATTGCTGGCAGCTGGCGATTCCTGCACCTCAGTTCAGGAGACTCTTGATCATATTTT